CAAAAACTAAGAGGCTTAGAACTGTCGTGATTTACTCGGCCTGTGCTTCTTTCCATCTTTTGCCTTTGGATTACCCATCAATAGTAAGATCCTCATATTGAACAGACTCTGAAATGGGTTCTTCTGACTCTAAATACACAAACATTCATAATTTTACCTTTTATATAGGAAAACTGCAAGTCTGCATGGGTGCAAGGAGGTGAAACTGTGTAGATTGCTCTGAGGACGATCCCTGGCTAACTTTGTACCTGCGAACCCTGGCAGTACCCACCCCCGCAGCATTTCACCCCTTCTCTCTTGTGAGAAGTCAGAGAAATGAAGCACGATTTTTACGTGAAGGACTTTGTCTCAAGAAAATGTCAAACTAGGAAGGGCCCTATTATCATAAAATTCTTCAGTGAAAGAAGGGTGAGAAGTGTAAGTACCACAGGGTGATCAGCCTGCATTGACAAAGCCCCTGGCAGCCATCAGGTCGAAAGCCTTCAAATGGATCTACTGATGTTTGGAATAAACCTCACATGTAGAAAACAGGACACCAGCAATTTCAATGAAGTCTGGGGTTTATGTGCTAACTTTATCAGGACATGTGCAACAGCCACAAAACGCATGAGGGATTTCAGTCTCAGAGACTCCCAATCTATTTTCAAGTCTGATCGAATCCAAGTTTTGACCCTCTAGAAGTATGATTTAGCTGTAAATATTATTTTAAAGGATTTCAGAAAAATCTGGATTTTATTTGCAACTTGTTCTGCCTTGTCTTGTCTCTCTATTCATTTTCCATATGAACATGTCTGTCTATTTCAGAGGACACTGGATAAAAATCTACCTCTCAAAACCAAAATCCTGATTTCACAAAATCAACAGAATTAAAGTTTGGACCCCAACATACAGTTTTTATTCAAGCAACACTCCCACTGAAGTTACTGAAATCAGAATTTGTATGCCTAACGCCTGTATTTCATTTTGGAGTAGTCATTTTATATCACCGCTTTTTCATGTATTTCAGACAACTGTGGAAATTCATTGTCCCACCTGAACGTATCACTGTTGCACTGAGATGGATTAAGGAACTATACATAATGAAGACTTGACATAAATGCAACAAAGTGTCATGACAAAAAGAAAAGTGTACAATTACCTAAATTAGGTGTTCAGCTAGATTATTCCCACCAAACTGTGGTTTGAATTTTTTTTTCCTCTACACTAATAAAGAAGCAAATAACTACAAATTTACTTTCATTTGATAGTAGATAAATAGGAATTGACTGGATATAATAACCCTATTATGTAAGAACTGAATTCATCCCTTCAAGAAACAACTTTTATCTGAGAAAAGGCCCATAAAGTACAAAAGACCATGACACTGCATGTTAAATTCATAGCTAATAGGGGTTTTCTGTTGGTGTTACAGATATTCAATGTGGTATTTATCTAATCTTAATCAGACTTTTTCCTGACTCCCAGCATCAGAAAACCAGAGGTGGGGGAGCCAGGGAGGGAAGAGAAGTAAATGTTCACTTATATTGCCCAAATGTCATGCAACATATCATAAAAACTATCAGCCAACTCTTCAGCTGGCTGGTGCAAATTGTCACTGAATTTAATTTATCTCTGACAATCCTGCACCACCTGAAACTCTGGCTAGTAAGGAAGAGAATATATGAATTTCTAAGCAGTAACTTTTTACCTTGCTTCAGCTTCGTTCACATTCACAAGTTTTATCTAGGCAATAAACCCCTGTTTATTCCACCTGCTGGATGAAGACAGGAGCTGGCCGAGCAGCACACGGCCATGCTCACCTTAGACATAACTCCACTTACTAGAGTGACCCTTCCAGCCGCCAGCACCCTTTCTGCAGAGCGACCTGCCGGTGCCGGTGCACGTTACCGGCGTGCCGCTGCCTTCATCAGAAACGCACCGTCATCCTCGCCACGGCTACCGCTGCCCGCGCCAGGTGTTCGCGCGCGGTGGGTTTTGGAAGAGGACAGCTAGGTGTGTCTTTGGGCAAAAACCCGCTTGGAAAGGCTGCTGGACGGGGCCTGGTGTGGGTGAAGCATCCACAGGGAGCTGCTTAACTCACGGGGGGTGCAGAGGAGGGTGGGATGGGCAAAGAGAAGCATGTCCCCTTCCCCCCCCCCCCACACACACACTTACTGTAACTGTAGTTCTTGGCCAGGTAGGTTGAGAGCGTAGGCTTTATCTTTTTGCACCTGCATCGGTCTTCAAAGGAAGAGAAGGGGAAATGGTTGAGGGGTGTCGGAGGGGGCCTGGCTCCGGGGAGGGGGAGGCGGGGGGGGGGGGGTGGGGGTGCCCGAGGCTCACCCTGGCCGCGGCTCCGGCAGTCGGGCTCCGGGGGTCTCTCCGGCACCAGCACGCCCTGCGTGAAGTCCGTCCACTTCACATCTGCGAACAGAGGCGCGGGGGGGGGGGGGGGGGGGGGGAAGGGAGAGCCGTCGGGGAGACGCTCCCCAGGGGGGCGGGGCGGGGTGTGTGTGGGGGGGATCCTCAGCCCCCCCTCCACCCCTTCCCGGCCCAGGGTTAGAGGAGGGGGGCTGTCCTCTCTACCCCCACCCGCCGTCCCCGGGGCTCTCACCCTCCGGCAGGTCGGTGACGATGGCCTCGGGGGAGATGCAGACGCCGCGGTCGTAGACGGGGAGGTCGTCGCAGGCCAGGCTCTCGGGCCAGCTGTGGTTGTAGCGGCGCATGATGGGCTCGCAGCCGTCGCGGGCGCGCTGGCAGACGGAGCGACACGGCTTGATGGGGTCGTAGAGGAACTCCAGGGTGCAAATAGGGGCGTACATGGCGCAGAGGAAGAAAGGGAGGACCGGGCTGCAGCCGGTGCCCACCAGCTCCTCGTACTGCTCGATGGCGAGGACGGCGTTTTCCTGGGTGCTGTGGTGGAGGTGGTTGGGCATGCGGGTGATGTTCCAGGGCATGGGGCGGCACATGGGGATGCGCACCGCCTCGCACGGCGCGCCCTGCGCCCGCGGGCTCACCCGCAGCCACAGGGACACCGCCACCAAGGCGCGTAGCATCCTCCTCCTCCTCCTCCTCCTCCTCCTCCTCCTCCTCCTCCTCCTCCTCCTCCTCCCTCGCCGTCGCCCGCCGCCGTCGCTCCGAAGGGCGCGGAGCGGCGCTGCCTTCCCGGCGCCCGGCTGCAGTGAAGTGGCGGGAGCCGCCGCGCCGACAGCCATGGGCATCGCGGGACCGCATTTATACCGGTGGCACGAGTGACGTGGGGGCCGATCGCGCTCCCTTGGCAGCACCGCTCCTCCGGGGGAGGGGGTGGGGGGGGGTGTGTGTCCGTGCGCGCGCGTGTGTGTGTGTGTGTAGTGTGTGTTTTGCTGTGCAGTCACGGTGACATCACCTCCACCCCGTTTAATCCCCCGGCGACATCACTGCGTCTCTCGTCCGCGGCTCCGGCTCCGTTTCAGATTTCATCAGTGTCATAAATTCCTTCAGGTGGAAGGAGGGAAGGAAGTGGGGGCTGGGGAGGGAGGGGGGGAAGATAAGCAAACCCAAACCACACGCATCTCCGACGACGCGGGGAGAGAGGGGAGATGGAGGATGAGGGGGGGACTCGGGAGCCCCCCGTCCGCGGAGCAGAACTTTACGCTGCATTTTTACCCGAGGGAGACGGAGCAGAAACTTTTTTTGCGGGCTTGGGGGAGCTCCGGCGGCTGCTCCCGTCGCTTGCGGGGGGTTTGCAGAGTTACCTCCGTGAGTTACCTCCACGGCCGGGGAAACGCGTGGGGCGGACGGGCCGGGCAGACAAGCGGGGGAGCTGATCTTTGCCCGGTTTGCTCGGGACGGGGGAAGCGGCGGGGCCCGACCCGTGTCCCCCGCGTCGCATCTGCAAATGGGTGGGAGATGAGATTTCAGGCTTTCCCCAAGCTGTTTTATTATTATTTATTATTATTTATTTTATTATTATTTATATTATTATTATTATTATTATTATTATTATTATTATTATTATTATTATTATTATTATTATTATTATTATTATTATTTCTTTCCTTGGTGCTCCACGGCCGCAAGCCCTTGATGCAGTGGAGTGGCATGCCCACGCGGGAGCAAGAATCTGTGGACCCTTCCTCCACTGGGGGCAAATGCCGCACCCCAGTTTTTGAGGGACCCGCTGAGCAAACGAGATGAACGCAATGCCGGGTTACGGCAGTGGCCCCGGGACTCAGCGCTGGCAGCTCCCGGGCCCGCCCTGGCCAGGTACCGTGGTGCCACCGATGCTTCCCCACGCAGAGCCCGGGCCCGCGTGGGTGATGCAGATCCGGAGTGCCCGCGGGGCACAGGCTTCCCCCTCCCTCCGTGTGCGAGGGAAGCTCATCCAGAGAGGGGAGGAAGCAACAGCTGAGAAACCTGAGAGGGCAGTGGGAGAGGAAGGGATACGTGAGCTGGGTGACACTGTCCGTGGGGAGCCACTGAAATTCCTCCCTCAGGAGCACCATTACAGCAGGTCCCTCCCTCCCAAAGCCCACACAGGGTGCCCAGAAGTACCCCAAGGCTCGACCCTTGCAAAACCCCCTCGGGCATCACCCCTCGCTCACCAATGGGCACGGCCAGGGCAAGCACACCCCCCCACACACACACCCTCCCCCCCACGGGTGCGAGGAGGGGAGGGGGCTGGGGGAGCAAAGGTCCCCTGGGCCTGTGGTCCCCCCCTGCTCCCCCCATCACCCCGCTTGCATCCAGCAGCTCGGGCAGCAACCGCTTCTCCCCCGGCTGCGGTGATGCGGGTTTGGAGGCGGGCCGCCCCCGCCCCCCTCCGGGCACAGGCCCGCCCGCCTGCGGGGCGCGGAGCGGGGCGCGGAGCGGGGCGGAGCGGGGCGCGGAGCGGGGCGCGGAGCGGGGCGGAGCGGGGCGCGGAGCGGGGCGCGGAGCGGGGCGCGGAGCGGGGCGCGGAGCGGGGCGCGGAGCGGGGCGCGGAGCGGGGCGCGGAGCGGCGCGCGGAGCGGGGCGCGGAGCGGGGCGCGGAGCGGAGCATGGCGCCGGCGCTGCAGCTGCTGGGGCTGCTGGGGTTACTGGGGCTGCTGGGCGGCCTCCCGCTGCGGGGCGGCGGCGGAGGGGCGGCGGCGGGAAGCGGGTGGCGGGGGGGGGCCGAGCCGTGCCAGGCACCGCGGCAGTGGGAAGGGCGCACCGTGTCCTACGAGCACGGAACGGGCCGCAACACCCGGGCCGCCGTCTCCTACGACGGCCCCAACCAGCGCCTCCGCATCCTGGAGGAGAGGAAGGCCCTCATCCCCTGCAAGAAGTAGGTGTTCCGCCGCGGGACCCCCGCCGTGGGGCCGGGCGGGGCGGGGATGGTCGGCGCAGAGCCCGGAGGAGCCTCCCGAGGGGGGGGAGGGCGTGGGGGGGGGGGGGGGGGGGGGAAGTCTCGGCCCCCCGCGATGCGGGGCGGCACCTCCCCTGCGGGAGATGGGGGAGATGGGGGGGAGGAGGTGGCAGCGGCGGAGCCCCCCTCGGAGGGAGAGGGGGGGACGCACGGCTGCGGGGGGGCGGCTGCTGGGAACAGTCGGCTGTAGAAAACCTGGCACCGACATGGCTTAGATCCATGCCCCGTGTATATAGGTATTGAGAGAGATAAAGATACAGATATATAGAAGATCTCTCTCTCTTTATCTATATCTATATCTATATCTATCTATATCTATATCTATATCTATATCTATCTATATCTATATCTATATCTATATCTATATCTATATCTATATCTATATCTATATCTATATCTATATCTATATATCTATATATCTATATCTATCTATATCTATATATCTATATCTATATCTATATATAAATCTATATCTATATCTATATCTATATCTATATCATCTACATCTTTATCTTTATCTTTATCTATATCTATATCTATATCTATATCTATATCTATATCTATCTATATCATCTATATCTATATCTCCCTCCCTATCTCTCTCTCTATCTCTTTATATATATCTTTCTATCTCTCTATATCCCTCCCTCCCTTCCTCCCTCCCTCTCTCCTTCCCTATCTATCATCCATCTATCTATCTATCTATCTATCTATCTATCTATCTATCTATCTATCTATCTATCTATCTATCTATCTATCAATATCTTGAGAGATTTATGCTCAGCAGTGTCAGCTTTTTACCCTTGGAGAGAGTTCCTTTCTCCCAACTATTTTTATTTTTAAATGGAATAGGAACCGAGTCCAAAACTACAGCCCAAAATGTGAGGTATAATGGGTATAATGAAGAGATTACACTCAAATGCAAGAATGATGCATCAGGGGAGAGGGGGGGTTTCTATCCCAGTAATTTGCTAACAAGTTAGAGTCATGTTTTACAAGTTCTCTGGTTATTCTCGGTTCCTACAAGTGGTGAGTGAGTGCAGGGTGCCAGGATGTATCTGCTACCTGTGGTACAATGGCCTCATTCACACTGCACAGGCTGCCCAGCTCTCGAGGACCTCCCTCTTCTTAATTTCTACGGTGTGTGCCTGTTAAGCCTGTAACTAACCCACCAAAATCCGTGCGTCATTGTGCATTTCTTGATTTGCTGAAAAATAAGCGTAGAAAAAAATCTGACTGAAGAAGGGCCTCTTTTTTCCTCCTCAACCTTCCAAGCTCAGGCCCTGTCAGTCTGGGTAGAAGAAACGATCAGCCCGGAGGAGCCTTCCTGAGTGACGTTTCTGGGTACCAAGCGTCAGTAACTCTCAGACAACGTGTCAAGACATACCTGCCAATGTGAGGGTGGCCAGTCTGCCTGTGCCTCTCCCACCTAAAAATTGTCCAAGTGATATTGCGTCAGTCCTGGGGATGTGTAAGCCAAGGTGAAGACCAGCCTACAGATGCTGTATCATCCAAACTAAATGGTCTCTGCTATTGAAAGATCAATATTCCTTTTTACTTCTGGCTTTTTTCCCTGACAATGATCAATTTCTTACCAACATCACATAGTCATTGTTTTAATCTTTCCAAAGTGTATGCTCTCCCTCAGCCCTTTCCCTGACAGTCGCAAAACACTCTTAAAACTGTTTTATGAGTTTCATTTTCAAGCTTAGCTTTCCCTCATTGTGAGCTTTTTTCTTTATTACGATTTTCATGTAGGAGCCGTGTAAGGCATGTCAAAGGCAACGTGTAGTTAGTTGTTTGCTGGAGGCCTGCTAACATACGACATAGAGTCTGACACTGGCTGTGCTCATGCTCCCCTTCTTACAGAAGTCCTAGGTTGACCTTCATGTTTAACAAGCATAAAACTGTGCTACAAAGTCTGATGCAAGCCTTTTCTAGCTTCTTAGTTGAACTGAGCTCATTTCTTGAAGCTTATGTTTATTTTATTTCAAAACTTTATTTTAAGATTGAATAATTATTCTACGTTTTCCACTCTGGGCCAGATTTTGGCTTTTGCCAAGATCTGCTCTTTTGACATTTTTGATAAATATTTGCTCTGGATGCAGTTTCGTCTGGGCTGACAGTGCTAGAAAGAGTTAGAGCGCAGACAGGTGCACTTAAAGCATCTCTCTGTTGTTTTTTCTTGTCTTAGTTTTTTCTCGTAGACCATCTCTGACCTCGGGGATCCCTGCTGTTTCCAGGCTGACCATATTTTTTGCTATCCAAAACTGGAGGGTGGTTTTGTTATGTGCGCAGCTAGTGTCTGCTAAGGGCGTCACCCAGCTGCCATTGAAGTCAACGGAAAGACTCCCATCGATCTCAATGTGTGTTGGATCGGGCCTGGAGTTGTGATCACAACTTCATTTCACTGTGGACACAGTGAGTCATAAACTGAAGCCTTCAGAAGTTAGAGGCGGGGGGATTTATCCTGCCTTTTGAAAAATAACCTCTCCCCCACTCCGCTTTGACGTTGGCAAGAAAAGGGTAATTATGCCGAGGCAGTGACTACAAAAGCAACAAGAAAAATAGTGCTGTCCTGGTCTCTAAGGAAATTTCAGTCTAAATTCTCATGAACGGACACATTTTGCTCCTATCAGATATAACTTCCATGCAGCAATCAGGGTTGGCCAACAACCAGATTTTTATGCAAAGCGTTTTCTGAAGCTTGCAAATGTGGACCTTAATCAGACACAGCCCTGTTTAAGTTAGTCGACTGAGGTTAATCAGGGACACAAAGATCTGCCTGTGTGGAATGGCTTGCAGGCTCATAACCACAGGAAAACCCGAAACGTTCAGTTTTCATTGTAGATACATGTTTCAAATGCATGCAGTTTGCTATGTGGCATTATCATACCTACCTCAACCCAGTGTTTTAAGTAAACTCCTGAAAAGCAACCATAGGGTAAATATCCCATCGCTGCTTCATCAACATCACTTCTTTGCTGGCCAGTCATGGCCGGAGCACCCGAGAGGCAGTGGCTGTTGGCAAAGGCTGCCTGCTCCCCATCAGCCAGCCGCTGCCGCGTTACCTGCCACCTGAGCTCTACCACCAAGTGGGGCTGGAACAGTCGCTGATGGTTGTTTCAGCCAGCTTGTTGGGGGTGTGTTTCTCTGGGTCATACTGTTGACTGTCTACACTCCGGCTTAGAGTGTAAGAACTACCAACAGTGATCCTAGGCTGAGCCTACTCCTGTTGGATTCATTACTAAACTTTCCTTTTTGCTTCTTTTACAGCCCCAGCCTTAGCTACACTCCACATCTTATGTTTTCTCCAGTGTGCCTTGCCCGCTGCTTCTTTCCCCTTCAGGATCAAGATTTTGGGGATAGACAAGGAGGGCAGGGACAGTCTTCTCTTTTGGTTTCATGTAGTGTTCAGCTGATACCAGGAGAAGAGAAAACAAACAGGTTTTTATGGAGTAGATGTGCCATTTCCTATTTGGAAGAGGTCATGGCAGTAGGGTTATTATTTGATGTGAAAGGAGAGCACTTGAAACGGTTCCCTAGAGCTCTTGAGGCAGAGCTGCGTCACATTATCTGTTGAACACAGGACGTGCTTTTCAATCCTTTGTTGCCTACTTTCTGGAGTTACTTCCTCTTGTGCTCTTTGCGTATTAATCCTTCCTCACTCTTGTTCAACCCTCTGTTGGCCACCAGCTCAGGACATTTCACAAAACTTGTAACAGTCATCAGCACGATTTTGCTGTTGGGGCAAAAGTGTTTAATTTTAAGGTAGTGTCTACCGGTTCAGATTTGAATATGACATCACTACAAACCAGTCAGAGATCCTGGCACTCCAAAGGTCTGAACCAAAAATCCTGCTGACTGCACAGTGGCCAGAAGCTTCACTTCTCATTTTCTTGGAGAAACAGAACAAGAAGTGTACTGCCTGGCACTGCTGAAGCCATTCGACAGACGTTAGTGCTCAGTTATGAAGGAAGAAAAGCATGAAGTGGGGAGCAGAGCAGAAATCACACAGGTGGTGTTTGAGGGCTGGGGTGTTACTTATCACATGCTGTATTCATAGAGTTTCACCCTTATCTTCCATACTGTTTTTCACAGAGTGATTTTCAGGGGAGAGCCAGTAACTGTCCTATGAAAAATGCAATGGTGGGGAGAGGAAAATTTCCATGTGGTCAGGAAAGTCAGTAGGAGGAAGAAAATTCATTTCTCTCTTCTATGAGTGTATTTTAACTGTAAGCTCCCTGAGCTGTTGTACAGTGTGCGGCACATCAAGATATCTAGGTTACTTGAGACTGCCTTAACAACCATAATTGCAGAGCAGAAAAACAACCTGGAGATATCGTATCAGTGTTTATTTAAAAACAGAACTGTGTGTTGGTAGTCTCTTTAGTTTCAGTTGTATTTGCAAAAGGCAGGCACAGATATTGGCAACAGAAACTGGTAGTACAATAGAGGACCAACAGAGCTGTGTTTAGAGAAATAAGTCTGTTATTCTGGCAGGCTGTGTGCATGCACGTGTCTAATCCCTGTCCTTGACTGAAGAGAAGCAGCGTGTGATCAGGTGCAAATATAACAGCATTCATCTGGAGGAGAGGTGATGACTTTTCAAAATAAACAGAGTGTGGGCACGCATGTCTGACTTATCTCAACTACTTCTTAGTTGTTTTAGGATGTGTGATTGTAAAGGAAAAAACAGCGGTGTCTGACCTATTAAAATCATATAATCCGTCCGTTCTGTGGTCATTATGGTGACTCAACAGGCTAAGTATTGAGCTACGCTGAGCGACTGCAAATTTGTTTCCCAGACTTGGTTTTGGGAGTGGTTTCTGCAGCTTAACGTTTAGGGGAATGAACGATGATCATGGGTAAAATTTTCAGAATTGGCCAAGTTACTTGGGAACCCAAGCCCCATTTTTTAAG